ATTGACGTTAAAAAACACAGAAAACATGGCAGAAGCGAAGTGTGGTTTCAGTTTTCGGATTTTTCAGGTTATTAGATTCTCAGTTTTTCTTTCATTTTTCAGTTTTTCGATATCTCAGTTTTGGATGTTTTCAATATTTCGACATTTCGATTTTTGACTCCTGGGTTTTTCGATGTGTCGATTATTTTACTTTTCGATTTTTCAATTTTTCGATTTTTAAATTTTAGATTTTTTAATTTTTAAAATTTCAGATTTTTCGATTTCTCGATTTTTCATTTCAGTTCTTCGATATATGAATTTTTCAAGTTTTCGAATTTTTCAAATGTTTCGATTTGTTAATTTTTCAGTCCCGGTTTATCGAGATTTTTGCAATCTTTGGAATCATTGGAATCCTTCGAATTCTTAGAATTCACAGAATCATAATCATTAAACTCGCGTGAATATTGGAATACTTAAAATCCTCAGAATTTTCATAATCTTTAGAATTAATTGAGTCCTTTGAAACCTTTGAACCATTTGAATCTTTTGAATCCTTTGAATTCCTTGAAACTGCAAAATCCTTAATCTTCTTAGAATCTTTAGAATCTCTATAATCTCAAGCATCTACAGAATATCTAGAATCTCTAGAATCTGTATAATGTTCAAAATGTTTAGAATCTTTAGCATCTTTTTAGTATCATTGGAATCTTTGGAATTTTTAGAGAGTTTGAAGTGTTTGGGAGTGCGTGGAATCACTAGAATCTTTCCAATCCTTGTAATCCCTGAAATCCTTCGAAATCTTGAAAATTTCACAATCCTTCGAATCCTTGTAGTCCTTGAAATTTTTAGAATCGTCAGAAACCTCAGAATCTTCAAAATCTTCATAATCCTTGGTATTTCTTTAATCCTTCAAATATACTGCACTCTTAAAATCTTTAGAATCGTTCGAATACTTACAATAGATAGAATCTGAATCATCTTTAGAATTCTTTGAATCCTTGGAATCCGGAGAATCTTCAGAATCCTTGAAACCTTAGGAATCCTTCGAAACCGTTGAATCCTTCTTATACTTAGAATCCTTTGAATGCACTGAATCTTTAGAATCCTTGCATTATTTAAAATTTTTGGGATCCTAGCAATATTTGGAATTCCCGCAATTCATTGAATCGTTGAAATTCTTGGAATCCTTGAAATCCGTATATTTCTTGGAATTTTATCCTTGGACTTCTTCGAATGCGTCAAATCTTTAAAATCCTCAGAATTTTCATAATATTTAGAATACTTTGACTGCTTTCAATTCTATGAATCTTTTGAATCGTCACAATATTTAGAATGTTTAAGAATCTGTAGATTCTCTAGAACCTTTCGGATCTTTGGAATCCTTGGAACCTTCGGAAGCGAATACTTGGAATTTTCGGATCCTTTGAATTCTTCGAATTTTTAAAATCGTCAGAATCTTTATAACTCTTGGAATTGTTTGAATCCTTTGAATATTGTGAACCCTTATAATCTTAAGAATCCATAGATTTTTAGATTTTTTGTAATTTTCGGAATCTTTGAAATCCTTAAAATCCTCACCGTTCCTGGAATCCTTTCTAGCCTTCGAATTCGTAGAATAATAAGAATCTTAATCATTTTAGAATTTTGAATTCTTTGAATCTTTTAAATTCTTTCGATCTTTAGCATCTTTAGATTCTTTAGAATTTCTGGAATCCTTGGAATCTTCGGAATATGTACTTGGAATTCTTGGTATCCTTCGAATCTTTAAAATCTTTGAAATGTAGTCCTTAAGACTCTTGAAATCTTTAGAATCCTTTGATAATACTTTGAAAACTTAAGAGTTCTTACAATCCTTAGGTTTTTTTTAAAATCTGTATAATCCTTGGAATCATCACAATCCTCAAAATCTTCATAATTTTTAAATTCCTTTGAATCTTCTCACTCTTGTGACTGCTATGAATTCTTTGAATACTTGGAATGTTTTGAATCCTTTTAATAAGTTGAATGATTTAGAACCTTAGAACCCTTAGAATTGAACTGTTTGAATCCTTTGATTCGTTACAATATTTGAAATCTTTGGAATCCTTTGAATCTTTCGAATCTTTCGAATCCTTTTAATCCTTTGGATGCTTTCAATCTTGAATTTTTTAAATTCTTAGAATCTTTAGAAACTTTCAAATCTGTAGAATCTTTGGAATCCATGGAATTCTTTAGAATCCTTTGAATGTTTGGAATCCTTTGAATTCTTTGATCCTTTTTAATCCTCTGGATTTTTAGAAACCTTAGATTTTTTAAAATCTTTGAAATACTTCGTATCCTTCAAATCCTTGTAATTCTTGTAATCCTCAGAATTTAATCCTTTGAATCCTGGGAATCCTTGGAATTCTTGAAACCTAATCCTTAGAATCCTTGAAATTCTTAGAATCCTTGAAATTCTTCGAATCCTTCCAATAATTTGAGTCGTTGAATCTTTGCAATCTTTGGAATCATTGGAATACTTAAAATCCTCAGAATTTTCATAATCTTTAGAAACAAATCAGTCCTTTGAAACTTTTGAACTATTTGAATCCTTTGAATTCCTTGAAACTTCAAAATCCATAATCTCTAGCATCTACAGAATATCTAGAATCTCTAGAATCTCTAGAATCTTTAGCATCATTGTAATCTTTGGAATTTTTGGAGTGTTTGGAATGCTTGGAATTTTTAGAGTCTTTGGAGTTCTTGGAATCTTCTAAGTTTTTGTAGTTAGTGTAATCTTTAGCATCTTCAGCGTTTTAGAGTTTTGAAGTCTTTAGGGCCTCTAGAGTTGTTGGAGTTTTCTGAGTCTTTGAAGTCTTTTGGAATCTTTAACATCTTTCGCGTTTCTAGAATATTTAAGTCTTTGGAATCTTTAGAGTCTTTAGAGTCATCACTTTTTGGATTTTTCGATTGCTCAATTTTTTGACTTTTTTTTAGGTTCTCAGTTTTTGGATATTTCAGTTTTGGGATTTTTCAGTTTTTCTTTCATTTTTCAGTTTTGGGATTTTTCAATATTTCGATTCTTCGACTTTTCGATTTTTGACTCCTGGATTTTTCGATGTGTCGATTATTTTACTTTTTCGATTTTTCAATTTTTCGATTTCTAAATTTTAGATTTTTAATTTTTAAAGTTTAAAATCTTTAGATTTCTCGATTTTTCAGTTCAGTTCTTCGATATTTGAATTTTTCAAGTTTTCGAATTTTTCAAATGTTTCGATTTCTTAATTTTTTGATTTTTCGACTTCCTGGTTTTGGATTTTCTGTTGTTCAATTGTCATTTTGTCAAATTTTCGATTTTTTAATTTTTCAAATTTGACTTTCACAAACTCTCAATTTTTCGATTTTTCAATTAATCGATGTTTTGATTTTCCCATTTCTTGACCTTCGAGCGTTTCGATTTTCCTGTTCTTCAGTTCTTTAATTTTTTGATTTTGCAGGTTTTTGATTTTTCAATTTTTCGATTTTTAAGGTTTCTATTTTTCGACTTCACTTTTTTGATTTTTCGATTTTTCAGTTTTTAGATATTTCAGTTTTAGGATTTTTCAGTATTTCAATTGTTCGGCTCTTCTATTTTTGACTTCTGGATTTTTCGACGTGTCTACCTTTTTACTTTTTCGATTTTTCAATTTTCGGATTTTTAAATTTTAGATTTTTCAATGTTTTGATATTTTAATTTTTCAATATTTCTTAATCTTTCGATTTTTTAATATTTCTTAATCTTTCGATTTTTCGACTTCCTGGTTTTAGATGTTCTGTTTTTCAATGTTTCGACTTGTTAATTTTTCATTCCCGATTTATCGAGATTTGATTGTTCAGGTTTTTGATTTATCAGTTTTTCAATTTTTATTTTGGTCTATTTCGGTTTCTCAGTTTTTTGATTTCTCGATTTATCGAGATTTCGATTTTTCGATATTTTGATTGTCAATAATAACCGTAATAACTTGTGTATTTGCATCCAGTTACTTTAATTCAGATTTTGCTTTGTTTTTATTAAATTTGTGATATGCAAATATTTGGCCAAATTTTGACTTTTTCGCGGGCCTTTCAAACTTTTCAAGGTCAATTCAAAGGCGGGAAGTATGGGTTATCACAATATGTTGGCAATCCTGGATTTTTTTTGGAAATTGGTGTCATGTTTTGGTTGTCAGCTGTCAAGATTAATTGTTGAGTCTTTGTAATTTAATAATTAGGTATTCGAAGGATCTCATTTTCGCTTGCCATAATTTTGTCAACTTGCTGCTCAAATTCCAAATTGGAAAATGTTGTTTTCTTGACTTAATGCTAAATTCAAATTTATCTTTTTTTTTTTTTGGTAGTCGTTAATTTGACGTTATAATTTACAGAAGTTAAGCAAAATATCAATACATTAAAATATTGATTTACTGGTTGCCTGAATTCGGTAATATTTCCAGTAATTTTTGGGGTTAAGTTGGTCACCTTTAAAATTTTATGTTGGCGTAACTGATTGTCAAATTGATATTTCCAAATACGATAAAATCTCTATTGAACAAGTATTGTTTCTATAATTGGTATCACTGAATTTTGATGCTCCTCCTCCACCCTAATGTCAAGATTAACACTGTTGACAGCGAAATGTAAAATTTGTCGCTGCTTGTTATTAAAATTTTATCAACCATAACCAAACTTTCTTGAACAATAATAATTAAAACTGACGCACCAATCAAAAGCATTGATTACTCAATAAATATCATTTGCGTCAAAATTTTCAGTAGTTTTAGTACCGCGTGCTCAAGAATGTCAAGATTGATGATTTGTTGACATTTTAAATTTTATTCCACGTTTTTGTAATTTAATAATAATTCTAAAGATCTCATTTTGCCAAAAAATTATGAATTTAAAATTTGGTGCGGTCGTGGAAAATAACTCTAAATTAATTAAGGTAGATTGCCTTAGATCTTTCTAACCTTTTTTTGTCATCTTAGCAAGTGCTAGCCCCGCCCACCCACCCTTTATTTTCTTTGACTATACATCATTTACCAAAATCAGTCTATCTTAGCAAGTTTGGTAACAAAACAACCAAAAAAAGTTCACATTTTTGTTTAGAACGTACTGCCAACAGACTCGCTCGATTCTGATAACACAGTACCTAGTGATTTAATATTTGTAATTTTTTCATGTTAAGTTGTCAACATTTAGCTCACTAGCATTGCTACCAACACAACACAAAATTTCCTTCAATGTTTTACCGGAATACCAAAACGTATGCGCAATCATGTGACCAGTGGCGGATATTCAAATTTTCTTGACACTCATTCCGTTAAAATAACCTCTACTCCCTCTACCGGATTACTCTTCCACCCCCAACGTTGCCATGGTTTCAATCCAGTTTGACATATCCTTCAACTTGACACCATGGCCGAACGAATCGTGCCCCTCAGCACCACCCTCGTCAAATACGACAACCCCATCCTAGTAACCAAACATGAAGAAAAAAAGGTCCCAGCCGTCTCCAAAGACAAACTCCACGAAGAAGGGCACCCCCGCCCCAGGTCCACCGCCATCCTCACGGACGCTCGTCGCGAAACCGAAGAAATCCTCAACACCATCCTCCCACCCAAAGAATGGGAGGAAGAAGGGCAGATGTGGCGCCAAAACGTCTCCACCACCCCCGCCACACGTCTCGACGTCATCAACCTCCAAGAACAACTAGACATGCGCTTGCAGCAGCAACAAGCCCGCGAAACCGGTATTTGCCCAGTCCGTCGCGAATTATACACCCAGTGTTTCGACGAAATCATCAGACAAGTGACGATAAACTGCGCCGAACGGGGGTTGCTGCTCCTGAGGGTGCGGGACGAAATGAGGATGACCATAGAGGCGTATCAGGCGCTGTATTGTAGCAGTATTGCGTTCGGAATGAGGAAGGCTCTTCAAGCGGAGCAAGGAAAGTCGGATTTGCAGCAAAGCGTGGAAGAGTTGAAGAACGAGAAGATGGAGCTTGAGCATCAGATAATCGATTTGAAGCAGAGGGCGGAGCAGGCGGACAGGAGGGCGGCGGAGACGAGGTTGGCGGAGGAGAGGAAGCACACGGAAGAAATCGCGTTCTTGATGAAGACGAACCAACAACTAAAGGCCCAGCTGGAAGGAATCATCGCGCCGAAAAAGTAGTCACTATTTTAATGTTTTTATTAAAACTTTTATCGTTATTAAAATTTAAAATCCATTCCAAAGCACATTAGTACATACATAGTCGGGTGAGTCTCGGGCCACCCGATTCGGTATAAAATACTTGAGATAACCACCACAAGAAATAAAATATTTGTGTTAACTTAAGCTCTGGAAATGATTACACGTAATACTAAACAAATAGTTAAAATTAAATACTTTGTACAGTGATAACAATAATTTATAATCTTACTATTATAAAATATAAAAAACCCATCCACCCTGTAGAAACATGTGATGTCACTAGTAACAAAACTCGCTAATGTTTGCCTTTTTTCGAACGTTTCCGTTTTTTCTTTTTGTTATTTCCTGAAGCGACGTCTTCGTCGAACGGCTTCTCATCTCCTGTTGTAGGAGTGGGAGGTTCGGAAGCGGATTTCTCTTCGGATTGGTCGTCTTTAGAGGCGATGCTGCCGTTGATTGGTGAGTCCGGAATGAGGTCCTCGGGCTTGGTTAATTCTAAGGATATGATTTTTTCTTGAAGAGTCTCTACCTAAGGTTTTAGAAAACAATCAGAACGGGTTTATCGGGAGAACAGAGACGGCCAGGGTACATATTTTCATGTTTATGGAAGTTCGGCGGTCGGTAAACGTCGAACAGGGACGTATCGGCACTAGTCGGTGTTGTGTGTAAGCATTATCTACAAACTGTTCAGGACGTTTTCAGAAAAATTTTCATGGCTCACTTTTATCATTGTTTAAGTATATTATAGTTGAGAAATCAAAAAAATACATCAATTCAAAAATCGAAAAGTCGAAAAAAAAATCTCCTAACTGAAAGAAATATTCAAAAAATTCAGAAACGTCAAAATTTGAAAAATAAAAAAATATTGAAGAACTGAAAAATCTAAAAATCTAAAATTTAAAACATTGAAAAGTTAAAATATTCTAAAACTGAAAAATCAAAAAAATAAAAATTCGAAAATCTAAAATTTAAAAAGCGAAACACTGAAAAATCAACGAATCGAGAAGTCGAAAATTTAAAAAATTGGAAAATTGAAAAATCAAATAAATCAAAAAACGAAACATCGAAAAATCGAGAAACCGAAAAGCAAAAAATCGAAAAACCAACAAATCGAAAAATCGAAACATTGTAAAATTCAAAAATTGAGACATCGAGAAATCGAAAAATCAAAAAATTGATAAAGCGAGAGATTGAATAATCAAAACATCGAAACATCCGAATCTCAATAAATTGAGATCTCAAAAAATTTAAAAATTCGGAAATTTGAACAATTCAAATATAGAACTGGAAACTCGACCGAAAAATCTAGAAATTTAAAAATTAAAATATGGAAAAGTTGAAAAATTGGGAATTTGAAATATAAAACAATCAAAAAATTGAAAAATCTTGAAGTCGAAAAATCAAAGAATCGAAGTATTGAAAAATATCAAAACTGAAAGAAATATCCAAAAGTTGAGAAATCGAAAAACCAATAAAGCGAAGTCGAAAAATCAAAAATAGATTAATTGAGAAATCAGAAAACTGAAAATTTAACGCAAAAATTTGAAACATTGAAAAATTTAAATACTGAAGAACTGAAAAGTCAAAAAATCGAAAAATCCAATTCAATTTGAAAAATTGAAAAATCGGCACAATGAAAAATTCGAAAATCCAGAAATTGAAAAGCTCAAAAGAAAAAAAATCGAAAAACCGAGAAATCCAAAAATCGAAACATCGAAAAATTCTAAAACTGAGACTTCGAGAAATCGAAAAATTCAAAAACTGAGACTTCGAGAAATCGAAAAATCGGAGGATCGAGAAATTGAACAATCAAAACAACGAAACATCTGAATTCGATAAATTGAGAAATTAAAAAATTGAATAATCGAAAAATTGAAATATAGAAGAATTGAAAACTCGAGATCTCGAGAAACCTAGAATTTAAAAAAATTAAATATTAAAACATCGAAAAGTTGAAAAATTGAGAAATCGAAGCATTAAACATTCGCAGAATTGAAAAATCTAAAGTTTACAATAAACTGAAAATCCAAAAAGTAAAAAATCGAGAAATCAAAAAAATCCATCAATTCAAAAATCGAAAAGTCGAAAAATTGAAATATTGAAAAATCTCATAACTGAAAGAAATATTCAAAAAATTGAGAAATAAAAAAATTGGAAAATTGAGAAACCGAAAATCTAAAAAAGCAAAATCGAAAAATCGTAATCTTAAAAAATCGAAAAATTGAAAAATCAAAAACCTGGATAATCGAAAATTTGAAGAAACTTTAAGAAGTGGAGAAATGGGAATATAAAAAAATAGATTAATGGAGAAATCCGAAAACTAAAAATTCAGAAACGTCAAAATTCGAAAAATAAAAAAATATTGAAGAACTGAAAAATCGAAAAATGTAAAATTTAAAACATAGAAAAGTTAAAATATCCTAAAACTGAAAAATCAAAAAAATAAAAATTCGAAAATCTAAAATTTAAAAAGCGAAACACTGAAAAATCAACGAATCGAGAAGTCGAAAATTTAAAAAATTGGAAAATTGAAAAATCGGATAAATCAAAAACGAAACATGGAAAAATCGAGAAACCGAAAAGCAAAAAAACGAAAAACCAACAAATCGAAAAATCGAAACATTGTAAAATTCAAAAATTGAGACATCGAGAAATCGAAAAATAAAAAAATTGATAAAGCGAGAGATTGAATAATCAAAACATCGAAACATCCGAATCTCAATAAATTGAGATCTCAAAAAATTTAAAAATTCGGAAATTTGAACAATTCAAATATAGAACTGGAAACTCGACCGAAAAATTTAGAAATTTAAAAATTAAAATAAGGAAAAGTTGAAAAATTGAGAATTTGAAATATAAAACAATCGAAAAATTGAAAAATCCAAAGTATAAAAAACAAAAAACTGAAAATCCAAAAATGAAAAATAGAAAAATCTAGAAGTCGAAAAATCAAAGAATCGAAGTATTGAAAAATATCAAAACTGAAAGAAATATCCAAAAATTGAGAAATCGAAAAACCAATAAAGCGAAGTCGAAAAATCGAAGAATTGAAAAATCGAAACTTTGAGAAGTGGGAAAATCAAAAATAGATTAATTGAGAAATCAGAAAACTGAAGATTAAACGCAAAAATTTGAAAAATTTAAATACTGAAGAACTGAAAAGTCAAAAAATCAAGAAATCGAAAAATCTAAAATATAAAACATTGGATAATTAAAATATCGCAAAATTGAAGAACCGAGAAATCCAATTCAATCTGAAAAATTGAAAAATCGGCACACTGAAAAATTCAAAAACTGAGACTTCGAGAAATCGAAAAATCGGAGGATCGAGAAATTGAATAATCGAAAAATTTTAAAAAAGAAAAACTGGAAAATCGAAAATTAAAATTCAAAAAATCGAAAAATTGAAATATAGAAGAATTGAAAACTCGAGATATCGAAAAACCTAGAATTTTAAAAAATGAAATATTAAAACATCGAAAAGTTGAAAAATTGAGAAATCGAAGCATTAAACAGTCGCAGAATTGAAAAATCTAAAGTTTACAATAAACTGAAAATCCAAAAAGTAAAAAATCGAGAAATCAAAAAAAATCCATCAATTCAAAAATCGAAAAGTCGAAAAATTGAAATATTGGAAAATTGAGAAATCGAAAAATTGAAGATGTGAAAAGTCGAAACTTCAGGAAGTCCAGAAATGGACAAATAAAAAAAATACTTTAGAAATCGGGAAACTGAAAATTTAGAAACGTGAAAATTTGAAAAATTTTAAACTCGAAATATTTAAAAACCGTCAAATTGAAGAGGACAAAAATTGAGAAATCGTATCATTGAAACATCGAAAGATTGAGAAATCGAAAAATAAAAAAATCGAGAAATAGAAAATTTGAAGAATGGAAGAATCGGAAACCCCAAAATTGAAATATTGAAAAATTGAGACATTTAAAATTGAAAAATCACAAGATCAGGACTATGCTACTTTTTAAAATTTAAATAACATTATAAATTGGAAAATGTTGTTTTTCTTTTCCAAAAATCTTGACGTCTAAGGTGAAAACTCGACACGGATGCATAAACCGTAAAGGGGGATCTACTATTGTAAAATTTGGAGATTGCGTCATTTCATTGTTCGTGACAAATTTTGGTGAGTGTTTTACCATTTGATAATACAATTTGAAATGTAAATTTTGACATTCGGGAACATTATGTATTAAATCGTGAAGATGTTCAAGAACTTTATTCACCTATTCGTTGTAAGTCCAAAATCAGATGTAATATTGGTGTGATTTTTTTGACTTTATTCTAGATTTTATTACAGCAGAACGGCGTATCCTTTTTAAATTTTAGAAGAACAATTAGTTATCTCGTATTTTTGAAACAAAATCTACCAAAACGTCGGATAGCAGCAATTGTTTTTCATAAAAATAAACAGCCTTCAAAGCAGCCTTTAACAACTCGATATTACAAACATGCCTCTTAATGCGTTTTTTTCTGTCTTGTAATTATTTGTAATGTTAACGCCGAAAGTTTATGTCATTTTGTTATTTACTTTGAATAGGTATATATTTTCATTTTGTGTTAATATTTTTGTAACACCACGAATCTAAATTTTACTTAAAATCTTGTTTTACTTTAATCTTGTAAAACTAAACAATTATACTAGTTTAAAAACCCTTGGAAAGTTTCTGTCAGTCTTCAGATATAGTCAAATAAAAATAGGCTTCAAATTCATTTAAATACAATTCTTTCGTATCACGTTACAACGCGTTGCTTCATATTTTTTATGTCAAGTATATTTTCATATTTTGTACATATATGTTTATACACATTACTGTTTACGGAACAATGTTAATTATGAATTTATGGATAACTCCTCGTATAAGAGCAGAGTGAAGGGTGTTTGTTTGATGGCGCCATCTGATGTAGAGAAAAATAAACCTAATACGTTGGCTCACTGTAGGTTGTCCAACTATAATATACTTAAACAATGCTTTTATCTAAAAACATCCTGGCATTTAGCGGGGATCTTTACCAAGAGGTTGTTCAAGCATTATCGCCTAAACGAAACATGAAAATATCGACCCTTTTTAGAATACAGTCCAAAGAAAACAGAAACTATATTCACCACAAGCAGAAAGAATACAAAAAAGAATAAGAAAGTCAAGAGTCGCTTGTTGGCACAGTAAAATCACTTCTTTTTCCTTAAGGCAAACAGCGCAAGCCAGTGCTAGAAGAAAAGTGTTAAAACTAACCAGGTGTGAGTGTATCATGCTGAAGATGGAGTGGGTGTTTCTCTTATACCTCTCTTTCAATCAGCTTCTCTACATATTCAACAGTCCTGACGCGTTTCTCTCCCGTTACGTCATCGATATATTCTTCAGTACGTTGGGTTATCGTCTCTCCTAGCACCTTCTCGCTTTCCCTGACGGTCGTATTTCCCGGTTTACTGCGCACAGCCAACTTGGGGAAATCGGCACTAGAGGGCCTCAGCTGAACACATGCAATGCTGTTAGTACCGTAGCCCTGGACATGTACCGAATCCAGTCGGGTTAGTTGGGTTAGTTACACACACTTTTCGGATAAACGCGACTTAAGTAACCCCGCGGGTTGCGCGCGCATCTGCTCACTTTGTTAATCGAATTAATGAAGCTTCTACTACCCACCACGTAAGGCGCGCAACCCACAGGGCCAACTAAATCGGAATTAGTGACACGAACCCACCCAGAAGGCCACAGAAACACCCTTCCATGCCGTCGCACTCACCTCCTCTTTGGGCGTTTCGATGATGGTGGGCGTGGGATCGCCCGTCCCCACCATGTCCGTCATGGACTTGATCACCATCTGGGCTTGGATGGCGTCCTGTTCGAGCGACTTGAGGCGAGCGGCGCGCCACGCCGCCCGTTTCTCGGCCCTTATGGCCCTTTCCTCGGCCGGCGACAGCGGCATGTCGTCCTCGTCGGTGAGGAGTCCTTCCTCGCGCAGCTTGTCCTTGAGGCGGCGCTCGGCCTTGGCGGTTCGGACCACGCCTATGCCGTGGCTGAAGGAACTGCAGCAAAAAGTGGTTTATCGCACGGTGCGTACAAGATTTTCTCGTAGTAAATACCCGGTGAGTTGCGAGTCGACGGATTCGGTGTCTGAGTGGTCCTGAGGGTGCAACATGTTGATGTCGGCGGCCGAAAGGTTCGCGATTTTTCGTTCTTCTTCGGCTTTGAGTTTTTCGAGTTCGTCGGTGCTGAGATAACTGAACACTTTTTCTGGGGGGGAATAGAAATGAGTATATGGTGATGTATGGGTTAGGGGGTTACCTGGTTTTGGGGTTTTTTGGCTTTCCTCCATCGCCGTTTCGAAGAACTTCTTTCGGTCGCTGACTGACGATTTCGGGGCCCCACTTTTCGGAGATTGTGGGGGCTACAAACGTAAATTAAAGTAATAAAAAAAACTCTTAATTTGGTAAAAACACACAAATTTGCAAATACTGAGTATACTGAGTGTGCTAATTTTTACAAGCAACATTTTCACCAAATGAAAATTGGTCGACGGTTATTTTGACAGAACTTCCCTCGCCCCTGACGGACAACGCAACAAATCCCGCTCTTTGAATTTTTTTTTATTTTTGTTTTCTTGTACACCCTATAAAGTAAAAACCAGTTTTGGAATTTTTCGTCTCTTCAATTGTTATTTTTTTCATTGTGAAATTTTGCATTGTTTGGATTTTTCGATTTACAATTTTTGATTTTTAATTTTTCCATTTAAAATTTTTTCAGTTTTCCGATTTATGAATATTTGATTTGCAATTTTTCTAGTTTTCATTTTAAACGTGCAATAATAATTATAATTTAATTTTTTTTTCACTTTTTCAATTTTGAAATTTGAGATTTTAGAGTTTTTCCACTTTTCAATTGTTGAATTTTAAAACTTTATTTTTCGATTCTTCAATTTTTCATTTCTTCGAATTTTCGATTTACATTCTTCGTTTAGGTTTTTTATTTTCTTTATTTTTACAATGTTTCGGTTTTTGAATGTTGTGACTTTATGGTTTTTCTTTTTTTTTCAGTGCGATTTTTTTTTATTTTTGGATTTTTAATTTTTCGATTAGTAATTTTTCAATTTTTCGATTCTTCAATTTTTTCATTTCTTCGAATTTTCGATTTTATGTTTTTTCTATTTTAATTTTTCTTTTTTTCAGTGCGAAATTTTTTGATTTTTGGATTTTTCATTTTTTCGATTCTTCAATTTTTCATTTCTTCGAATTTTCGATGTGCAATTTTTTGTTTGGGCTTTTTATTTTTTTTCCTCAGTTTTTCGGTTCTTCAATGTTTATATTTTTCGATTTTTATTTTCTTTATTTTTACAAATTTTTGGTTTTATAATTTTTTTTTCAGTGCGATTTTTTTTAATTTTTGGCCTTTTCAATTTTCCGATTTGGCTTTGTATTTTCTTTATTTCCTCAGTTTTTCGGTTTTTGAATATTGTGATTTTATAATTTTTCTTTTTTTCAGTGCGAAATTTTTTGATTTTTGGATTTTTCATTTTTTCGATTCTTCAATTTTTCATTTCTTCAAAATTTCGATTTGCAGTTTCTCGTATCCGGTTTTTATTTTCTCTAGTTTCACAATTTTTCGATTTTTCAATATGTAGATTTTATAATTCTTTTTTTAATTTCAATTTTTTTTCAATTTTTCGTTTCCTCATTTTAAAAATTTAGGAGTTTCCGTTTTTAGATTTTGCAATTTTTTGATTTGCAATTTTTCTAGTTTTCATTTTAAATGTAAAATAATTATTTTTAATTTTTCATTTCTTCAGTTTTTTGGATTTTCAATGTGATATTTGTCAATGTTTGGATTTTTCGATCTGCAATTTTCAGTAGTTTCCAATTTATCGATTTTCTATTCTTTATTTCAACAATTTTATAATTTGCAAATTTTCGTTTCGGTTTTTGTTTTTTTATTTTTTTCAATTTTTCGATTTTTGAATGTGAATTTATAATTTTTCGATTAGTAATTTTTCAATTTTTCATTTGGTCTTTTTATTTTCTTTAGTTCCTGTTTTTCGATGTTTATGTTTTTTCTATTTTAATTTTCTTTATTTTTACAATTTTTTGGTTTTTGAATGTTGTGATTTTGTAATTTTTCTTTTTTTCAGTGCGAATTTTTTTAATTTTTGGATTTTTCAATTGTTCGATTAGCAGTTTTTCAATTTTTCATTTCTTCGAATTTTCGATTTGCAATTTTTCATTTGAGCTTTTTATTTTCTTCATTTCCTCAGTTTTTCGGCTTTTCAATGTTCACATTTTTTTATTTTTGTTTTCTTTATTTTTACAATTTTTTGGTTTTTTAATGTTGTGATTTTATCATTTTTCTTTTTTTTTTCAGTGCAAAATTTTTGGATTTTTGGATTTTTTATTTTTTTTTTATTTCCTCAGTTTTTCGGTTCTTCAATCTTTATATTTTTCGATTTTTATTTTCTTTATTTTCACAATTTTTGGTTTTTGAATGTTGTGATTTTATAATTTTTCTTATTTTTCAGTGCGAAATTTTTTGATTTTTGGATTTTTCAATTTTTCGATTATCAGTTTTTCAATGTTTAGATTTTTCGATTTGTATTTCCTTTATTTTTACAATTTTTTGATTTTCGAATGTTGTGATTTTGTAGTTTTTCTTTTTTTTTCAGTGCGAATTTTTTTTAATTTTTGGATTTTTCAATTGTTCGATTAGCAGTTTTTCAATTTTTCATTTCTTCGAATTTTCGATTTGCAGTTTTTCATTTGAGCTTTTTATTTTCTTCATTTCCATAGTCTTCCGGTTTTTCAATGTACATATATATTTTTCTATTATTGTTTTCTTTATTTCTACAAATTTTTGGTTTTTGAATGTTGTGATTTTATAATTTTTCTTGTTTTTCAGTGCGATTTTTTTTAATTTTTGGATTTTTCAATTTTTCGATGAGCAGTTTGTCAATTTTGCGTTTAGGCTTTTTATTTTCTTTATTTCCTCAGTTTTTCCGTTCTTCAATGTTGTGATTTTGTAAATTTTCTTTTTTTTCAGTGCGAAATTTTTTTAATTTTGGATGTTTCAATTGTTCGATTAGCAGTTTTTCAATTTTTCATTTCTGCGAATTTTCAATTTGCAATTTTTGATTTGAGTTTTTTATTTTCTTCATTTCCTCAGTTTTTCGGTTTTTCTATTTTTGTTTTCTTTATTTTTACAATTTTTTGGTTTTTGAATGTTGTGATTTTATAATTTTTCATTTCTTCGAATTTTCGACGTGCAATTTTTCGTTTGGGCTTTTTATTTTTTTTTATTTCCTCAGTTTTTCGGTTCTTCAATGTTTATATTTTTCGATTTTTATTTTCTTTATTTTTACAAATTTTTGGGTTTTGAATGTTGTGTTTTTATAATTTTTCTTTTTTTAGTGCGAATTTTTTTAATTTTTGGATTTTTCAATTTTTCGATTAGCAGTTTGTCAATTTTGCGTTTAGGCTTTTTATTTTCTTCATTTCCTCAGTTTTTCCGTTTTTGAATGTTGTGATTTTGTAATTTTTCTTTTTTTCAGTGCGAAATTTTTTAATTTTTGGATTTTTCAATTGTTCGATTAGCAGTTTTCCAATTTTTCATTTCTTCGAATTTTCGATTTGCAATTTTTCATTTGAGCTTTTTATTTTCTCCATTTCCTCAGTTTTTCGGTTTTTCAATGTTTATATTTTTCTATTTTATTTTCTTTATTTTTACAATTGTTTGGTTTTTGAATGTTGTGATTTTATATTTTTCTTTTTTTTTTCAGTGCGAAATTTTTTGATTTTTGGATTTTTCAATTCTTCGATGAGCAGTTTGTCAATTTTTCGTTTAGACTGTTTATTTTCTTTATTTCATCAGTTTTTTGGTTTTGAATGTTGCGATTTTATAATTTTTCTTGTTTTTCAGTGGGAAATTTTTAAATTTTTTCGATTCTTCGAATTTTGGATTTGCAATTTTTCATTTGAGCTTTTTACTTTCTTCATTTCCTCACTGTTTCGGTTTGTCACTGTCTATATTTTTTTATTTTTATTTTCTTTATTTTTACAATTTTTTGGTTTTTGAATGTTGTGATTTTGTAATTTTTCTTTTTTTTTCAGTGCGAAATTTTTTGATTTTTGAATTTTTCAATTTTTCGATTAGCAGTTTTTCAATTTTTCGATTCTTCAATTTTTCATATTTATCGATTTTTATTTTCTTTATTTTTACAAATTTTGGGTTTTTCAATGTTCAGATTTTATAATTTTTTTTTAATTTCAATTTTTTTTTCACTTTTTCGTTTCTTCATTTTAAAAATTTTTCGGTGTTTCGATTTTACTACTTTTGGGAGTTACCGTTTTTAGAAATATTGCAATTTTTTGATTTGCAATTTCAGGAGTTTTAATTTTTTTTCAATTTTTCAGTTTTTGATTTTACAACTTTTGAATGTTTCAATTTTTTGATTTACAATTTCACGAGTTTTCAATTTTTCGTCTCGACTTTGTATTTTCTTCATTTCTTCATTTTTCGGTTTTCCAATGTTCTGATTTTATAATTTTTCTCTTTTTGAATATGAAATTTTTCAATGTTTGGATTTTTCAATTAACAATTTTTCGTTTCGGTTTTTTGATGTCTTTATTTCTTCAATTTTTCAATTTCAAATTTTTTAATTTTTCGTTTTTTCAATTTTACGATCTTGGAATTTTTCCAGGTTTCAATTATCGGATTTTAAAACTTTTTTTTTTCATTTATTCGGTCTTCAGTTTTTCGATTTTTAATTTTTCAGTTTTTGGTTTCGGCTTTTAATAATTTTCTTCATTTTCTCGGTTTTTCAATGTGATTTTTCAATGTTTGGATTTTTCAATTCTTCATTTCAGCAATTTTATAATTTGTAATTTTCGTTTCGGTTTTTTATTTTCTTTTTTTCAGTGCGAATTTTTCAATTTTTGGATTTTTTAATTTTTCAATTTTCAGATTTGCAGTTTTTCGGGTTTCAATTTTCCATTTCTTCAATTTTTGATTTGCAATTTTTCAATCTTTCCGTGTTACAGCTTTTGCAATTTTTGAAATAACTTTTCGAATTAAAAAATGGGAAACTTGCAAAATTGTAAAACTGAAAAATCAAAAATAAAAAACTAAAATCGAAAAAATGATTTTTTTTTTTAAATATCTAAACATTGAAAATCTAGAAATGGAACAATTGAAGAACCGAAAAATTCAGAAATCGAAAAATGAAAAATCGAGAAACTTAAAAATCGAAAAATTGAAAATTAAAGAAATCGGAAAATAGGATACCTGGAAATCCAAAAACTGCAAATTTAAAACTTAAAAATCGAGGAATTGAAAAATCAAACATTGAAATTTTGAAAAATTGAATAAAAGAAAAATTATGAAATCAAAAGAAATTTAAAAAATATATTAAAGCAAATTTTGGAGATCACATCATCCCATTAGTGGTGGGGATGTTTAGCCAAATTTTGGTTGGCGTTTTACCATCTACATAATATTCATAATGTACATACAAAATCTGAGAACTATCGATCCATTAGTTTCGAAGATTTTGGCCCCAGACAGACTACTTTTGAGGTTATGAAACGTCGAGAAAACATGCGAGTGGCAAGTCACCCGACGAACTCGATTACTACACAATAAAAACATAAAACAAAAAAATCGCGCGACCGTAATTCCAAAAGTGGCTAAGTCATTAGTAAAAAAAATCTACAACCTCTACGAAAAACACGGAACCTTTTTCACTCATCAGTTACAAGACGGCACAACACAAAACTTTACCTGACTCCACCCAATCAGCTGCTCACTATCTGAAAACCGCACGTGCTTATTGGTCAGGATTAAAGAGTGGGGTCTGGGTGCCGGCACGGGTTGGAAGTCGCTCAGTAGAAACTCGAGCGACTGCGAATTGTTTTGTTTGATTAATTCGAGCGAAGGTTTGGGCGTGGTGGGCAGCATCGGCGGCACTTCCACCTCGTCGTCGAAGTCAAACTCGTCCACCGCGTGCGAGTCCGTCTCCGAGTAGCCCACCGGGGGCGGTATGACCAGGTTCTCGATGCTGTGCGACACCTCCTCTAGAGTGTCACTCACCGGCGGGAAGAAGCGGGAGTTTCCCAGCGTGGGCGTGGAAGGCGGGGTGGGGGCGGAGTTGGGAACGGGATGGGCGGGGCGGGGGTCGGTTCGCGGTTTGTTTGTCTTTGGCAACGTCGACGATTTGGCGGCCTGTTGAAGGAGGAGCGATTAGTGGGAGGAGCGATTAGAAGCGGCGCGCCAGGACAGGAAAACAAAAGCACGTTATACCAAAAATATATTTGCCATTGAAAATCACATTAATAAATATTTTTATGCTGTCAAAAACCTGACATAAATAAATAGACATATGTACCAAGTCATAACAACAATATAAAATCTATGTAACTACGGTTGGACAATCAACAACAACATAAAATTGTACACAAGTCCGGACTAACGAAGTGGATGAATTAGTAACACTGACTGAGTTAGCGTTTCGTCGGATGTTACGTACGGGAGGGGTGACAAATGTCGTGAACGTGAAAACAATGCCCGGTTTAAGTAACTGACACTGGAAACTACGAGATTCAAAATTTGTGCGACCCCTTACCTTACAGTAACACTGAGATTAATCTAAGTAACAATGTGATACACACAACATTCATGTAGTACATTAATATTGAATTAACAGCATGAATATTATGTAAATTAAGTAGATTATATCTGAGTTGATTAAATTAAGCCAAACACTTACAGAAATACTGAATTTCCAAGATGGCGGCTTTCATACCCTTAAACTATGACAAATACTGAAAAATAAGGTCGTTTTTTTGAATTTGTACAGCCCCTACGCAGAAAATGCACGAAAATCACCAAAAACAAGAGACAGGAATGTGAAAAACGACGGATTTTGTACTGTGGTACATGGTAGGAGCTTACACTAACGAAAAATCAGAACTAAAATGTCCTCCCGGTAGATAGTGGCACACAATTCTTGTTAAATATCAAATTAACACCCACGGGTTTTGGCAGGTCGAGTCAACATTCAAACAATCTAGAAAATAACCACGAAGTGAACATAGAACAACGAGTGAAGTGAACATAACCTCACAGTTAAGCGCACAACATAGAAACACATGACGTTTCGTAAGGCATTTTGACAAAGAACACGCATTAAAATCTTCTGAAACCCGACACTACTACTTCTCGGAAGGCCTTTCTATTGCTTCGGACTTTTTCTCTCTTGTGGTTTGAACACGCACGAGACGAGGACGAGAAATGAAGTGTTTGTGCGAGCGGAAGACCGTAAGTGGCGCAGTCGCTAGTAATTGTCTCAGAAAATTCTAGAACCTCTACATGAAACCGTTTTTATTCATCAGGTACAAGACGGCACAACACGAAACTTTACCTCTATGCATACCGTATCGAGCTACAGAAGAGTTAAAAACTGAAATTACGTAAGGACCAGAGACACACTTGATAAATTGGTACATTTTGATATGACGAATTACAATTTCATACAGTAACAATTGAAAAACAAAGCGACTGAACACATACATCAAACGTGTTATTGTTAAATTCGCTTATCAGTTATACGCTTAAAATGCTACTTATTATAATATGAGCACCACGTTTTTCTTGAATAATTTTTTGCGTTTCTTTACACTTATATTTAACAAAAATTTAGATATTAAAATGGGGAATTCACCAAACAGAACTGACGCTTTTTGTATTTTAAGTTTTTTTTTGTCAGTTCTGTGTTAGTAAATTCTAATTGTTTATTACGTACTGTTAAAGTAATATCTCATTTGACATTTTTTGTTATGGGGCACTCCTTTTCTGATTCTGGAAATAGAAAAAAGTACGGTAGATTTCGCTTTTTTTCAGTAGAACAGCATGCACCATGCTTTAACAACTAGGACAACTAGGATCCATGCTTCAGCTCTCTAGCGTTATGAACATACTTGCAGTGTTGCCATATCATAACACCATCCGTCGTAATGCAGTTAAAAAAAAAAAACGAAAATCGAATCACTTTCAGTTGTTCTACACATTGTACTTCATTGGTCTCGACAGGGAAGATTAGGAGTCGCACTTAAATTGATTTTGATAGCGATTTTACCAAGATTTTTATTTTAGTTTGAATTCAATTCCGGCTAAAGTGACAAAGACTGAGGATTATAAAAAATACAGACATTCAGCTCTATCCTTACTTTAATATATCATAAATTTCAATATCAATGTTAACAGATGCTATTTTGTGGAATGGCAGTGATGGATCGGAAAAAACGAAAAAAAGGTGCAATTTTTTTTTGGCTTGTAATTAAATGATAAGTATAAAATGCATTTTTTTTCGGTAACTTAAATAGTTTATTACGTACATTAATAAGTTTGTTCAGTAGAAATTGTAAGTGTTAAAATAAAACCTGACCAGTACAATGTGCAAGTATTTAATTGTGCTGTGTTTAGTAAAAATAATAGATGTTCAGTAGAAATGCTAGAGTGTCTGGTTGACCTAACTGGCGATGGAACGTTTTAATGAATACCCATATTTAGTAAAAAATAGTAATCTATAAGTACATAGTAATTGTAACAATAGGTAGAAAACAATATTTTTAATAAATATTTTTATTGGAAAAATAACAAAGTCCTATACATTGTTCTTTATAAAAATTAACATAAAATTGTAAGAAAAAAAATAGATCACATTTAAATATAGAATACACTTTCATGTATAAAAAAAAAATAAAAATAAACAGTAAAATAATAACAATAAACGTTCTTCATTGTTTCAATTATAACAAATAAATGCAGTGGCGTACATAGCACCCCCGCAGACCCCGCGATGTGGGGGGGCGCAGACCGTAACGTAACCGATATATTTTTTTAAAATGTGCAATTTTTAAAGAAGGGGTTTTCATTGGAATTGAAAATAAGATCAGGTAAATTAATAGCTATTTAACGAACAAGTTTGTTAATAAAGGTGATTAATAATCAATCGAGATATTTTAACGCGCGAGGAACGAGTTTTTATATTTTTTCTTTTTCTCAATTTGAAATTTTTCGTTTTTGGATTTTTTTAATTTTTCGATCTTTGAATGTTAGTTTTTGGACTTTACGAATATTTTTCGATTTAATTCGTTCTTTGATTCATTAATTTTTTCTCGATTTATAGTTTTTCAATGTTTCTATTTTTCGTTTCTTCAGTTCTACAATTTTGTCAAATAAATGTTATATAAATTAAAAAAAAGTAACAGTGTACCTATGGTCTATGAATCCGTGTTGAATTTTTATCTTCGACATCGAAATTTTTGTGGAAAAATAAAACAAAATTGAATTACAAGTTTTCGATTTCTTGATTTCTCGATTTTTAGTTTACTTACTTTTTCGATATTTCAATTTTACAATTTTTGCAATTTAAAAAAAATTTTCATTTTTACATTTCTCAATTTCTCTATTAATCAATTCTTTGATTTTTCGATTTTTCCTCTTTCCAATTTATCGATTTTTCAGTTTTTCGATTTCTCAAGTTTTCGTTGTTGCAATTTTGGGATTTTTCAATACATATCTTCAATTTTTTAATTTAAAATTTTTCACTTTTTTGATATATCGATTTCTCGATCTTTCGATTTTTAAAATTTCTGATTTTTCGAATTTTGTATATTTTGATTTATCGTTTTTTTTTAAGTTTAAATATGTATTTCAGTTTAAAATTTTCCGGTTTTTCGATTTCTCCATTTCACGGATCTTTTGATGTCTCAATTTTTTAATTTCGATTTCTCGGCTTTTCCATTTTTCAATTTTTTATTTCTTCAAGTTTTTAGATTTTTAAAATTCTCCATTTTTCGATTTTATGTTTTGTTATGCTTCGATCTCCCGATTTTAACCTTTTCAACGTGTATTGCAATTTTTCGATTTTAGAATTTTCGATTTCTTACATCTCGATTTTTCGTTTTTTCGATTTTAAAATGTTTTTACTTTTCGTTCTTTTTTTCAAGTTTTCGATTTCTCAATTTTTCAACATTTCAATTTTGAGAATGTCTATATTTTTCAGTTTTTTGATATTTTCATTTTTCAACTTTTTAAATTTTGATTTTTCGACTTACCGGAAATCGATTTTTGGGTTTTTCAATTTTTCGACTTTTCAGTTATGAGATTTTTCAATTTGTCGATTTTTTAGTTTTTCATTTCTTCAGTTTTTCGGTTTTTCAAGTTTTCGAATTTTTAAATTTAAAATTTTTAAATTTTTCGATTTTATTTTTTTTACGTTCCGATTTCCCGATTTTAATTTTTTTTATGCTTTTCAATCTTTGGTTTTTCTAAATTTTCATTTTTCCATTTCTCAATTTCTCGATTTTTCGACTTTTTGATTTTGTGTTTTTTTTAATGTTAAATTTTTTGTTATTGTAATTTTTCTATTTATAAAATTTTAGATATTTAGATTTTTCGACATCTTGAATTCTCGATCTTTTTTCAGTTTGAATTCCTCGGTTTGTCGATTTTCCAAAATTTCGATTTTTCAATCTGTCGACTTTTCAGTTTTGAAAATTTTTGATTTCTCGATTTTTCAGTTTTGATTTTCCAACTTTTAGATGTTTCAAATTTTAGAGTTTGCAAATTTCACGAGTTTTCAGTTTTTAATTTCGTCAATTTTTCGATTTGCAATTTTTCGTGTGGATTTTTAATTTTCTTTATTTTTTCAATTTTCCGGTTTCAATTTTCCGTCTTTTTAATTTTTCATTTGCAGTTTTTCTAGTTTTCATTTTAATTATGTAACACTCCTAATGATTATAATTTTTAAAGTTGTTCACTTTTTCAGTTTTCGTTTTTGGAATTTTTCAATTTTTCGGTGTTTGAATGTCACAGTTTTTGGACTTTACAATTTTCAAGATTCTATAATTTTTCGATTTTACAACTTTTGGATTTTCCAATTTTTCAATTCGAATGATTTTTCTTCTTTCCCATTCTATTCATTCATTTTTTTTAGATTTGTAAGTTTCTCTTTTTTTAGTTTTTCATTGTTTCAATTTTTCATTTTTTCGAGTTTTTAACTTTTCGAATAAACAAAATCGAAAAATTATAAAATAGAAAAATTGTAAAACTGAAAAAGTAGAAAATGAAAGCTTCGAAATATAAAAAAATTGGAAATCAAGAACTTAAAAAATCAAAGATTGAAAATGTAAAAAATTGAATAAACAAAAAATTATAAAATCCAAAGAAACATTGAAAAAATAAAGGTAATGGAAAAATGAAAAATTGTGATATAAAATCAAGAAAATGAAAATTACAAAATCGGGAAAATGAAAATATCGAAAATCTGAAAAATATAGAAATTGAAAAATTCCCAAAATTGAGATAGCGAAAACTTAAAAATCGAAAAATCGAAAAATTTTTAAAATTGGAAAATTGAGATATGAGAAATCGAAAATTCCAAAAATGGAAAAATTGAAACACATTAAAAAATTAAAATCGGGAAATCGAAACATAAAGATTATAAAAGGGAAAAATGAAAAATTTTAAAAATCGAAAATTTAAAATTTATACTAGAAAAATCGAAAATTTTGAAAATCGAAAAATCAAGAAATCGAAATCCAAAAACTTGAGACTTCAAAAGATCGAGAAATCGAAATAGGCCGAAATCGGAAAATTCAAAATTGAAATATTTACTTAAAAAAAGATAAACGGAAAAATCGAAAAACTCAAAAAAATCGATATGAGAAAAAGAAAATTCCAAAAATTGAAAAATTGAAATACAGATTAAAAAATTTAAAAAGTCGAAGTTAAAAAATCGTAAAAACAAATTCCATTCGATTTTTCGTTTTATCGATTTTGCAATTTTTTGTTTTTTCAATTTTTTCCAATTTTTTAATTTTCCGATTTTTCAATTTTTAGAATTTTCTACTTTCTGAATAAACAAATGGAAAAGTTATAAAATAGAAAAATTGTAAAATTGAAAACTCAAAATGAAAAAACGCAAAAGTATAAAATGAAAGCTTCGAGAAATCGAAAAACTTGAGAATATGAAGAAACGGAAAATTCAAAAATCGAAAGATTAAAAATTGAGAAACTTAAAGATCGAAAAATTGCGGTCGAAAACACGAAAATTATTGTAAAATCTAAATATTGAAAATTGGAAAATCGAGGCATTGAATAAACGAAAAATTGTGATATCAAATTCAGAAAATGAAAATTAAAAAATCGGGAAAATGGTATAAAAAAAAAAATGAAGAACTTGAAAGAACATCATTACGCCGAATATGTTCATTGTGCTACACATAACCTCAATTTAGTCCTTAATGATTCTGTTAAGAATGTACCAGGAATTTCCGCATTTTATGATTTAATAAATGCTATATACGTCTATTTCAGTGAGAGTTTACCGAGATGGCAACAACTTAACATTGAGATGAAAGAAAATGATAAGTGTGTTATAAAAAAAACTTTAAAAAAGGTATGCCCCACCAGATGGTCATCGAGATTTAATTCTCTAATTGCCATTAGATATAATCTCTCAACAGTTATGAGCTGAAATTATTTTAACATCAAAAAGGAAAAGTGAAATAGATGAAGCTGTAGCTCTTCGTAAAAAAATGGATTCATTTGAATTTGTTGCTCTATTAGTATTTCAATGCAAAATTTTAGAAAATGTTAATTTGGTCTCAAAAACTTTACAGAGTTCAAATATTACTTTAGATGAGGCTTGTAAATGGATGGAACATCTAAAAGACAAATTTCAAAGTATACGTGACAATTTTGAACAAATAATGGAGGAATCAAGGAAATGTGCTGATACCTGGAAAATTAACAATTCTTTTTCAAATAAACGTATAAAAAAAGTGAAACTGTTTCATGACGAATTATGTGAAGATACCGTTTTCAAAGATCCCACTGAAAAATTTAAAACAACCGTTTTCTATCCTGCTCTTGATATTTTAAACATTCAAATTAAAGATAGGTTTGAAAGCATGAAAAACGTCACAAACTATTTTTCTTTTCTGGAACCACAGGAAATGTTGAATAGTACAGGTGAAAAATTTGTGGAGGCAGCATCAAAGTTGGCAAATAAATACGAAGAAGATATTTCTAGTGCAATCTGTGGGCAAATAGTTAGTTTTAAAAACAATGTTGTTGGTGAAATTATTCAGCAAAAAATAACTAAAATTACAGATATTGCCAAGTTTCTGTTTATGGACAATAATTTCTTAACGGCAGAAAGATCTTTTTCTAAATTAAAATTAATTAAATCGTATTTGCGAAGCACGATGAGTCAAACACGATTAACCAACTTAGCTGTGTTGAGCATTGAGTGTGATCGATCCCAAAAATTAGATTAGATTAGAGATTATGTGTATAAATTATTATTATTTGTAAATCTGTGTTATTCGGCGCCACTACTGGTAAATCAGTAATTTCATATTAATTTTATATTACCTACTTTTTAACTTTGGTGTATGGGGGCGCTTACTATAAACTGCGGGGGGGGGGGGGGCAGTGGAAGTTAGCTACGCCACTGAATAAATGATTCTATATATGTAATAAAGATTAACATGCATATTCTAAAAAAATAATGAGGTTACGTATCATGTGTGGGTGTTAACTATAAAGAACATCATAATTTTCTAACAAACCTGTTCAATTTCTACTGAATGTCTATGATTTCTACTGTACATCCAACATTTATAACTAAGCTTTCGTTATTTTTACAGGACAATAGTTTTATTTACTGAACAAAATGAATAATATACATAACTTCCATGATAAAAACATATCGTTAAAATTAGTTACTGTAACAAAAAATATGTTATATGACATTTATATTTTCCACTGAACAATTGTATAATATATCGGTAAAGGTAACTTGTCGAAAAAATATTATACTGAGCAGAATATTTTTACCGTTTTTTTTTTTAACACCACCTCTTGCACCCTTTTTCCTCTGCACTAATACTCATTCTAGACAAAACCACATGCAAAATTTCGAATGAGGTGACTCTGAATGAAATGACCAAAAAGCATCTACTAGTGCCACATTATTCGCGCTCTCTGTCACCAAACAGAAAAATAATAATAACAACCAACTTTATGTATGACGAAATGTAGATGAAACTGATGAGTGTGATTAAACCGATGAATAAAATAAAAGGGGATTCACCCGAGGAAAAGAGCATCCATCCTGTGCCCCTCTCTTGTCGAATAGCCCCCTAACACAGAAATTTCTCAATCGACTTGGTTTTATGTCACAAGCGTTAAAAGTAACTGCATTTTACACAAATCTCGACATTAACATAAGCGGTACACTTACAAACGACCACCAAAGCGACATTTTTAGACAGAACACTACACGTGACCAGCGCTAGCGACACACCGTGACGAATCAATTAACTAAAAAGTGACAAACACTTACTGTGGTGGCCTGCGGCGCCAACGTGTGCTTGCTCATCACTATCGTGGTGGTTTTCAGCTCGGAGTTCGTCCCTCCGGGCGATTTGGGCGCCACCGAGTTTTCAGCCGGACTGTTCGCCAAAGTCTCCACCGCCCTGACAACGTCTAGGACTTTATCGGCCGGAGTTGTCGCTTTAGCTTCCACCAAATTCAAGTCGTCGTCGGAATTATCGGGGAGTTTGAGGCGCTTTTCAGCTTCCTCTTTCTCGAACTGGACGAGCTCCGACTTCATATTCTGCTCCTATTACAAAAAAAAAATAATAATAATAATCATGGTTATAGTCCACGAAAATGGAGCAGCACCTGTTGGATATCCTCGTCAGGAACATCCAAAGAACTGACGCTTTGTGACCGGCTGCTGACCGATCCGCCTCTGGTCAGTCGGCCCTCGGCGATGGCCTTGTCCACGTCGGCGCGGTCGTAGCCCTTGCACACCACCAAGTGGATGACGTCTCCGCAGGCCCTTAGCGTGTTCACGGCCTCTTGGTGGGTAGCGCCCAGCAGCGACTTTCCGTTGACTTCTAGTAGTCGCATTCCGGCGCGGAGGCGGCCGTCGCGGCGCGCCGCCCCCACAGAGTTTATTTTCGAGACGAAGACGCCTTCGTCGGATTTGTCCAACGGGTTGCCGCGCTGCCCTTGCAAACCGCCCTTTATGTGCATACCTAGTTTCTCGTTTTCACCCTTTTCAATCACTAGTTCCTAGATGAGAAAAATTGATTAGAGGGTGGTCATGAAGAGGGGGTTTCTGTGGAATTAAGACTCACCTTGGTGTCTACGTATGAAATCATAAGTTGCTTGAAATGAAATAGGGCGTTATGTACTATGGGTTAGTGATTTTTTTTTAATTGAAATGAAAGAAAATGGGCCGTAACTGAACAGTATATAAGGGCCACTATTATCGCGTGAGTTCAAGTTCGTTCAATAAGCCACAATTTGACTTGTTTGAAGGGCGAAAAAAATTCTACCGAAACTATTTCAGACCAATTATTTTACCAATACTAAAAAAAAAAAGACACAAAAGGATTTGAAGTAAAAAATGGTCTAGTGAGCCATGATACTATTTTTAAAAATACTAATATTAACACTGGAGTTTTTTGACAGTTACTTGATCGTAAACTGATTAACAGAAATAAGGTACGCGCTGGTGTCGCCAACATATTTTTTTTTTTATATTAAATTTCAAAGACTACTAGATGACTTTTTTCTCATTTGGTTAATCCCACCTTAATAGGTGAAACAAATAAACTAACATACCCGGTATATTTTATTTTTTAAAGCACTAAATATGTATAATAAAAAACTGAAAACATAAAAATTAAATATTTACCATACTTAAAAAAAACAAAGGAAACATCTGAAAAAAAAGTTGATGTCATTTTCGAAAAAACCGAAGGCGCTATAATACTAACAGTGGATTCATTTTCTACACAATTTGTGTTAATTAATCATTCTAAATTTTAAACTTCTATTTTCAAATAACTAACAAAACACCTGCGATCGAAAAAAAAGTGGTCTAGTGAGCCATGATATTGTTGTTTAAAATACTGATATTAACATTGGAATCTTTTGACACTCTATTTTGACAGTTATTTATCTATACATGTCAAACTGATTAACAGAAATAAGGAATGCGGTGATGTCGCCAACATATTTTTTTTTAACATTAAATTTCATAGACTGCTAGATGACTTTTTCTCATATGGTTTTAAAGTGGAACAACTAAATTGACACATCCGGTATATAATACGTATTAAAACCCTAAATACAATGAAACTGAAAAAATCTAAAAATTTAACATATATCATACTTAAAAAAAAAAGAAAACAAAAACATTTTGTCTGAAAAAAAAAAATTGATGTCATTTCCTAAAAACCCAAAGACGATATAATACTAACAGTGGATTCATTTTCTACACAATTTGTGTTAATTAATCATTCTAAATTTTAAACTTCTATGTTTTCAAATAACTAACAAAACACCTGCGATCGAAAAAAAAAGGGGTCTAGGGAGCCATGATATTTTTTTAAATACTGATATTAACATTGGAGTTTTTTGACACTTTATTTTGACAGTTATTTGTCTATAAATATCAAACTGATTAACAGAAATAAGGAATGCGGGGGTGTCGCCAACGTAATTTTTTTAACATTAAATTTCACAGACTGCTAGATGAGTTTTTTCTCATATAGTTTTAAAGTGGAACAAATAAATTTTGACTATTATTTGACTGTAAATGTCAAATTGATTAACAAGAACAGAGAACGCTTTGATGTTGCCAACATTATTTTTTAACATTAAATTTCAAAGACTTCTAGATGACTTTTTTCTCATATGGTGTTAAAGTGGGACAAATAAACTGACACACCCGGTATATTATACTTTTTATAGAACTAAATACAATGAAACTGAAAAAAATCTAAAAATTTAACATATATCATATTAAAAAAAAAAAAAAACATTTTGTCTGAAAAAAAAATTGATGTCATTTCCGAAAAAACCAAAGACGATATAATACGAATAGTAGATTCATTTTCTACACAATTTGTACCAATTAACCATTCTAAATTTTAAACTCATATCTTTTCAATCAACAAAAAAATTGGTCTAGTGAACCATGGTATTGTTTTTTAAAATACTGATATTGACATTGGAGTTTTTGACACTTCGTTTTGGCAATTATTTGACTGTAAATGTCAAATTGATTAACAAGAACAAGGAACGCTTTGATGTCGCCAACATTATTTTTTTTTTTTAACATTAAATTTCAAAGACTTCTAGATGACTTTTTCTCATGGTACTAAAGTGGAACAAATAAACTGACACACCCGGTATATTATACTTTTTATAGCACTAAATAGAACGAAACTGAAAAAATCTAGAAATTTAATATTTATCATAGTTAAAAAAAAAACAAAACAAACATTTTGTCTGAAAAAAAATTGTCATTTCCGAAAAACCCAAACACGATATAATACGAATAGTAGATTCATTTTATATACAATTTGTGCCAATTAACCATTCTAAATTTTAAACTTAAATGTTTTCAATCAACAAAAAAATTTCGATAAAAAAAGTGGTCTAGTGAGCCATGGTATTATTTTTTAAAATACTGAAATTAACATTCGAAATTTTGTGACACTTTATTTTGACAGTTATTTGACTGTAAATGTCAAATTGATTAACAAGAACAAGGAACACTTTGATGTTGCAAACATAATTTTTTTTTAACATTAAATTTCAGACTTCTAAGATGACTTTTTTCTCATATGGTATTAAAGCGTGACAAGTAAACGGACACCTCAGTATATTTTATTTTTTAAAGCACTAAATCGAATGAAACTGAATAAATATTAAAAGACAATATTTACCATACTTAAAAAACAAAAATTTTGCCTAAAAAAAATGTTGATGTCATTTCCAAAAAAACTAAAGGCGATATAATACTAATAGATTCATTTTCTACACAATTTGTGTTAATTAATCATTCTAAATTTTAAACTTCTATGTTTTCAAATAACTGATAAAACACCTGCGATCGAAAAAAATGTGATCTAGTGAGCCATGATATTTTTTAAAATACTGATATTAACATTGGAGTTTTTTGACACTTTATTTTGACAAGTATTTGACTGTCAAACTGATTAACAGAAATAAGGAACGCGTTGGTGTTGCAAATATTATTTTTTAACATTAAATTTCAAAGATTGCTATTTTTTTTCTCGTATAGTATTAAAGCGGATCAATTAAACTGACACACCCGGTATATTTTACTTTTTAAAGCACTAAATCGAATGAGACCAATTAAGCATTTTAAATTTGTTTTCAAAGAACTGAGAAACCGTGCAATCGAAAAAAGTGGTCTGGTTATCCCTGATATTTATTTTGAAACTTGGCACTGGATTTATTTGACACTTTATTTTGACAGTTATTTGCCTGTAAACGTCAAACTGATTAACACGAACAAGCAACGCGTTGGTTGCCAACATGATCATTTTAAAAACAAATTTCACGCCCTACTAGAATCACACTTCCGCCAACCCAGCCCGTTACATCTCGGCGCAACTCCGCCCCGCCATTATTCGAATCCATGTTATTAGCGCATTCTATACTGTTTCAGTTACGGAGGAAAACAATGGATAGAATGTGTCTACACACCCATCGGAACAAATGAGTGTCGCAAAAATTCGATACAAACCTGATATCCCTCCGGTAATGGGTCGTGGCGTACTGTAAGCGTGATTTTTTCGCCCGGTCTGAGCAACTCCATAACGGCTTCTTGGTGTGTTGCTTGCGTGACGTCAGTCCCATTAACTTTCAATATTCTATCGCCCACCCGAAGTTTACCGCAACTCGCTGCAGTCCCACCGGGTACCATCTAAAAATACCCCGACGTGTAAACAGACCAGAACAAAAGAAAAACTTACGTGAGATATGAAAATTCCCGGCTCTTTTACACCGAACGGAATACTGGAATGATCGGTGCCGCCGATGATACTGAAGCCCAGCGAGCCCTGGGCTTTGCTCAGAGTGACGTCCTGGAAGGAAGAGGGTCGTTAGTGAGATTGTCGCTGCGATTTACGCAAGTGCTACTTAAGTATACTAAAAGTGCTTAAACTAAAAGATCGATAGCGGGAAACGTATGAAGAAAGCTGGAGATGGGGAAGGAAAGGGGCTGTTACCTGCATCCGGACCATCTACAAGATTTGTGCCCATGTTTATTTAAACGCGGCTAAGCTACTCTAGCTAAGTTCAATCCCTTAACGCTCTTAACGGTGACGTCAGACGCATCAAAAAATAATTCAGGTTTTGTTCGTTTCGATATAATTTGGCAACAATGAAGTTACGGTCGTGATTGTTAAAAATATTATTTCCTCTCCAAATAGTACAGATACGATAATTAAAAATAAAATGCGAAGCCTGGTTGTTAAAAATGGCCGTTAAAGGATTACCTTCGAAGTGATATGTGACGAGTACACGAAGCAGAACTATGTCAATACAAAACTACAATCATTATGGAAGAATGCAAGTACTATGTTTATCAAATTGATGATGGCCGGGTTAGTAATAGCAACGTTCGAGTTCACAAAGAGGACAGAAATTTAGTAGTTTGTTAGTACTCTGTTTAGAAGTTAAAATGGGGTTTATGTCGAATGTTAGAGAATAGAAGGCTCAGTTTACACTTGCACAGTTGCACACAGCTGCCAAAAACTGACAAAAAAAGTACGTGCAATTAAAGAAATTTTATGACTCTACCTTTCCGGGTGATCGTACAGATGAACAAAAAATTAAAACAAAATGGAAATTTAATCACCATGTATGTTAAAACTGTTAAATTTTTTGCACGTTTGTCAAGGTAAGGTAACCAAAAAAAAATGCCTAAAATTTCAGACCTCCATCTTTAAATATGGCGGACTTGAGAATTTTACTTTACTACCAAAAACTGCCAACTAAATAAAGTTTGCATCTATTATTTTTCTGCTTGTTTAATAAAGAATCCAAGCCTATAAAAATATTTAACGTATCACTCTGTATATTCGAATAATCAACATATGTTTCTAAGTATTTTAATGCGTAATGTATAGCAAAGTTTTTTGTTTTTGTTGGAATCAAATTTAAAAAAACGGGTTCAAACGAGAATAATCCAATTGAATAATGCCATCAGTTTAATATTAATTCGACTTCAATTGAAATCGTGGTTCATTCTGATTCTCAAAAATATTTTGCGGTTTGTACTACTCGATTCCTTGAGTTTTATAGTCGCAACGAATAATTTTTTGATCGCTTAAATCAGAGGTTTGAGTTTGAGAGACCGATGTAGCGGACGATGTCATTTTTCTATTGTTAACATAAATTAAAAATTTCAAAAAAAATCAGGAAGGTCCGTGTCTCAATTATGAACCCGGATTCGTGTTCACGATGTTCGAATAAATAAAGAGACCAATTTTCAGAGAGCTGAGAGCCTCATTAACCGAGATAGTTTGAAATGATCAAATGCAAATTTTTCGCAAAAAATGAAACTCTTTTGATTTGTCTGAAATTGAGTTTATAGTTGAATTTTGTAATGGAGAATTCATTCCAGCCATTAGTTTAATAATAATTCGACTCCAATGGAAATCGTGGTTCATTCTAAAATTTAAAAAAATATTTTTCGAGTTTACAGGTTCATCATTTCAAAAACGTTCAAGATCCAGACTTGCGGTTTGTACCACAGGATTTCTTGGGGTTCTTTAGTCGGAATGGATGATTATTTGATAGCGTAAATCAGCGGTTCGAGTTTGAGAGACCGATGAAGCGGACGATGTCATTTTTCTATAGTTAACATAATTTTAAAAAATTAAAAAAAAAAATAGGAAGCTCCGTGTCTCAATTATGAACCCGGATTCGTGTTCACGATGTCCGAATTAATAAAGAAGCCAACTTTCAGAGAGCTGAGAGTCTAATTAACCGAGGTAGTTTGAAATGATCAAATGCAAAATTTTTGCAAAAAAAATTAAACTCTTCCATTGGCCCTGAAATTGAGTTTCTAGTTGAATTTTCTGGTGCAGAATTCATCCAGCCACCGGTTTAATAATAATGCGACTTCAATTAAAATCGTGGTTCATCTTAGAATTTCAAAAAATATTTTTCGAGTTTACGGGTTCATCATTTCAAAAACGTTCAAGATCCAAACTTGTGGTTTGTACCATTCGATTCCTTAGAGTTTTTTAGTCGCAACGAATAATTTTTTGATCGCTTAAATCAGCGGTTTGAGCTTGAGAAACCGATGAAGCGGACGATGTCATTTTTCTATAGTTCACATAATTTAAAAATATCAAAAAAAAAATCAGGAAGCTCCGTGTCTCAATTAAGAACCCGGATTCGTGTTCACGATGTTCGAATTAATAAAGAGACCAATTTTCTGAGACCTAAGAACCTAATTAACCGGAATAATTTGAAATGATCAAATGCAAATTTTTCGCAAAAAATGAAACTTTTTGGATCTTTTTGAAATTGAGTTGATGGTTGAATTTTGCAATGGAGAATTCATTCCCGCCATCAGTTTAATAATAATTCGACTTTAATGGAAATCGTGGTTCATTCTAAAATTTTAAAAAATATTTTTCGAGTTTACGGGTTCATCATTTCGAAAAGGTTCAAGATCCAGAGTTGCGGTTTGTACCACTGAATTTCTTGGGGTTCATTAGTCGGAATGGATGATTATTTGATAGCGTAGATCAGGGGTTGGATCTTGAGAGACCGATGAAGCGGACGATGTCATTTTTCTATACGTGACAATTTAAAAATTCAAAAAAAAAAATCAGGAAGCTCCGTTGGTCAATTATGAACCCGGATTCGTGTTCACGATGTTCAAATTAGTAAAGAGATAAATTTTCAGAAAACTGATAGTTTAATTAACCGAGATAGTTTGAAATGATCAAATGCAAAATTTTTCCAAAAAAATTTAAATTCTTCCGTTGGGCCTGAAATTGAGTTCCTAGTTGAATTTTCCGGTGCAGAATTCATCCAGCCACCAGTTTAATAATAATTCGACTTCAATTAAAATCGTGGTTCATTTTAGAATTTTAAAAAATATTTTTCGACTTTACGGCTTCATCATTTCAAAAGCGTTCAAGATCCGAACTTATGGTTTGTACCACTCGATTCCCTAGAGTTTTTAGTCGCAACGAATAATTTTTTGATCGCTTAAATCAGCGGTTTGAGCTTGAGAGACCGATGAAGCGGACGATGACATTTATCTATAGTTAACATAATTTAAAAAAATTAAAAAAAAAAAAAAATCAGGAAACTCCGTGTCTCAATTATGAGCCCGGATTCGTGTTCACGACGTTCGAATTAGTAAAGAGGTCAATTTTTAGAGAGCTGAGAGCCTAATTAACCAAGATAATTTGAAATGATCAAATGCAAAATTTTTGCAAACAAATAAAACTCTTCCGTTGGGCCTGAAATTGAGTTTCTAGTTGAATTTTCCGGTGCAGAATTCATCCAGCCACCAGTTTAACAATAATTCGACTTCAATTAAAATCGTGGTTCATTTTAGAATTTCAAAAAATATTTTTCGAGTTTACGGGTTCATCATTTCAAAACCGTTCAAGATCCAAACTTGTGGTTTGTACCACTCGATTCCTTAGAGTTTTTTAGTCGCAACGAATAATTTTTTGATCGCTTAAATCAGCGGTTTGAGCTTGAGAGACCGATGAAGCGGACGATGTCATTTTTCTATAGTTAACATAATTTAAAAAAATAAAAAAAAATCAAGAGGCTCCGTGTCTCAATTATAGACCCGGATTCGTGTTCACGATGTTCGAATTAATAAAGGGACCAATTGTCAGAGAGCTGAGAGCCTAATTAACCGAGATAATTTGAAATGATCAAATGCAAAGTTTTCGCAAAAAAATGAAACTCTTCCGTTGGGCCTGAAATTCAGTTTCTAATTCAATTTTCCGGTGCAGAATTCATCCAGCCACCAATTTAATAATAATTCGACTTCGATTAAAATCGTGGTTCATTTTAGAATTTCAAAAAATATTTTGCGAGTTTACGGGTTCATCATTTCAAAAGCGTTCAAGATCCAAACATGTGGTTTGTACCACTCGCTTCCTTATAGTTTTTTTTTAGCAACGAATAATTTTTTGATCGCTTAAATCAGCGGTTTGAGCTTGAGAGACCGATGAAGCGGACGATGTCATTTTTCTATAGTTTACATAATTTAAAAAAATCAAGAAAAATAAGGAAGCTCCGTGTCTGAATCATGAACCCGGATTCGTGTTCACGATGTTCGAATTACTAAAGAGACCAATTTTCAGAGAGCTGAGAGCCTAATTAACCGAGATAATTGAAATGATCAAATGCAAATTTTTCTTAAAAAATGAAACTCTTTTTATTTGTCTGAAATTGAGTTTATAGTTGAATTTTGCAATGGAGAATTCATTCCCGCCATCAGTTTAATCATAATTCGACTTCAATGTAAATCGTGGTTCATTCTAAAATTAAAAAAAATATTTTTCGAGTTTACGGGTTCATCATTTCAAAAACGTTCAAGATCCAGACTTGCGGTTTGTACCACTGGATTTCTTGGGGTTCTTTAGTCGGAATGGATGATTATTTGATAGCGCAAATTAGCGGTTCGAGCTTGAGAGACCGATGAAGCGGACGATGTCATTTTTCTATACGTGACACAATTTAAAAAATTAAAAAAAAGTAGGAAGCTCCGTTGGGTCAATTTGAACCCAGATTCGTGTTCACGATGTTCGAATTAGTATAGAGACCAATTTTCAGAGAACAGATACTCTGATTAACCGAGATAGTTTGAAATGATCAAATGCAAAATTTTTGCAAAAAAAGAAATTCTTCCGTTGGTTCTGAAATTGAGTTTCTAGTTGAATTTTCCGGTGCAGAATTCATCCAGCCACCAATTTAATAATAATTCGACTTCGATTAAAATCGTGGTTCATTTTAGAATTTCAAAAAATATTTTGCGAGTTTACGGGTTCATCATTTCAAAAGCGTTCAAGATCCAAACATGTGGTTTGTACCA